CTACATTGCTGTCCAAGCTGTGCTGTCATTGGCAGCCTCTTGGGCCTCACGCCAGGCCACTGAGAGGTCCCTCACTGGCACTGTCATTGACTCTGGTGATGGTGTCACTCACGTCATCCCAGTGGTGGGTGCAGGTTCTGGTAGTTTTGTTTTGATTCTTGTTATATCATAGTTATTGTGATCCCATTCTTATTTTTATAACTTTTGATTGTGATTATTTATTTGATCAATAAACAGGAATCCTCTAAGGGATCTCTAACCCCTGCCTTCTTCCCCTTCTACGCCGTACTCAGGCTGACGGCTATGTGATTGGGAGCTGCATCAAGCATATCCCCATTGCGGGCCGAGACATCACCTACTTTGTGCAGAGCCTGCTGAGAGAGCGCGAGCCCAACATTCCTCCCCAGCTCAGTATGGAGACCGCAAAGGCTGTCAAGGGTAAGGGAATAGGTCTTTTGTCTTTCCCTTCTTTTTTTTTCTCTTTCTCTCTTTTCTTTTACCATTCTCCCTGCTTTCACCCATTGATTTTCAGGAACTACCATGATATTTATAGAGGAAGATGAAGTGGAATAGACAATGTGAAAAATTTAAGGTTCCTCTAATGAGGAACTGATCCTAAAGAAATTGATGATTGCTTATTGATTTTGAAGCAGATTCTATAAAAATAATGGGTAGTATACGCATACCCCTCTGGGCCAGAGCTGCTGTTGTAAAACAACTGTAATTAATTCCAGTGTTTTATACAGCATCTCAGGTCTAAAGGGGTATATGTACACTACCCAATATTTGCCAGTTTGTGGTCAGTATAATAGCTCATGCTTGTACTTTTTTTTTTTTTTTTTTTACTATATTACTAAAACCCCTGACAACAAAATTTGGTCTTATGACAATACTCATATCACAATAATCATATTGTCTCTTTTCACTCACAGAAAAGTTCAGCTACATCTGCCCAGACATCGCTAAGGAATTCAACAAGTACGACAGCGACCAGGCTAAGTGGATCAAGCGCTATGAGGGCAAGAATCCCGTCAACAATCAAACCTTCGGGATTGACGTGGGCTATGAGCGTTTCCTCGGACCAGAGATTTTCTTCCACCCCGAGGTGCGTCAGCGAGGAGAGAGGGTTTTTTTTGTGTGTGTGTGTGTGTCTGTCTGTCTGTCTGTCTGTCTGAGATGATTAAAATATTTTAATATAAGGTTCTTGGAGTTATTCTGCTTATAATCTTGTGAATTTTCTTATCATTGTTATGATTATTATTATTATGTGTACATTATTAGGTGGTATATTTTATCATGCCTAATCCATCACAAGAAAAGAGAGAAACTACTGTCTGTTATTATTTTATTATTATCATTATTATTACTATTATTATTAATAACTAATAAAATTGATGATAATGTTTATTATTATTGTCATTATCATTATTTGGTATCATCACTATCTGTTACATATTCATTTGTTGTCATCATCATTATTTTCAAAATTTTCTCAATTAACTCTTGTTTTGATTCTCAGTTTGCAAACCCTGACTTCACAACTCCAATCAGCGAAGTAGTAGACAATGTCATTCAGAATTGCCCCATTGACGTGCGACGGCCATTGTACAAGAACATTGTACTCTCAGGAGGTTCCACCATGTTCAAGGACTTTGATCGTCGTCTGCAGAGGGATGTAAAGCGCATTGTGGATGCGAGACTGCGTATCACCGAGCAGCTGAGCGGTGGTCGCATTAAGGTTGGTGATTTGCTCATTTAGTATTTTACTCCCCACTCTTTTTTCACATCTTTCAAGGTATATTTTGTTATTTAATAAATCGTATTTAATGCCCTGTTCTTTGAAAGGAAAAGAAAAAACATTCAAGCGCCTAACAAATTTTATTTCCTCTCCAGCCAAAGCCAATCGATGTGAACGTCATTGCACATAAAATGCAGCGCTATGCTGTCTGGTTCGGAGGTTCCATGCTTGCTTCAACAGTAAGTACTATTTGTTATCATTTTATCTTATTGGCTCGCATTTCTCCTGAATTTTTTTGTTACATTTACAATTACATTATCTGTTTATGTTCAGGTACTTAATTCCCCTTAACAGGGAGGTAGTCAATATTTTTATCAGAGCTGTTTTTTTGCTTGCAGTCATAATTTTTAGGCTTGTTGCAAATCAGTCCCAGGTAAAGAGGGAATTAAATAGCCCAAGTACGAAAACAAAGCATCTGCCCTTACCCCTTATGTAGGTGAATATGTAAATTGTTATGCAAATCTTGAGTAAACTCTGTTTCTCCCACACAGCCTGATTTCTACCAAGTCTGTCACACAAAGGCAGAGTATGAAGAGAAGGGACCCAGCATCTGCCGACACAATCCAGTCTTCGGTGCTATGGCTTAATCTTAAGGAGTGTAGTCACTATGCAAAAATGGGGGAGGGGAGGGGAGGGGAGTGGGGGGTTAGAAGGAATAAAGGCACAAACAAGACAAGTTTATAGATATACCAGTGACATGGAAATTGACGTCATTAATTTTTTTTTTCCTAGAATTAGGGGGAGTAATTATAAAGTGAGATATTTATACTAGGAACATAAGGACTTGAGAATAGGAGGGGATAACAAAAAACAGAAAATCGAGATACAAGTGGGACTAAGAAAGGGATGTTGTATTTCTTCCATGTAAAGATTGAACTTATTCTTCAGATTTTGAATTTTTCTTTTTTTTCTTTTTTTTTCTTTTTCTCATTGCCCAAAGAGGTTATCTGAAATTTCTTCACTGATTGTGGATGATGGGTTATGATTGTTTGGTGATTTTTAAAGTTTCCAATGAAAATGTGTGTTGTTTTGGCTTATATCCACAAAGCACATGGTAACCACAGCTTGGAGAATAAAAGGCTGCATTGTAGTGCTGTTATTGGGGTGTCAGGAATGCTGCATCTTAGGGAGTTTTTCAAAAATGTTATCTTTCCATATTGTTTTTTATTGTGTTGCATTGTACTGTATGAGAGTGTAATAGTATATATTTTATTTGATTACGGTTAGTTTAATTTTTTTTTCTTTTTTCTTTTTATTTAATTTAATATACCTGTTGATTAGGCAAGTACTTTTAAAGCTTTAAAAGATATTACTTAACTTTTAAAGGAGAAGAAATAATTTTTGTGTGTGTGACACTAGCCCAGTAAAAAAAATATGAATGTAAGTAGAATTAGAAACTTTTATATGATTTCATAAAAAAAGAGGAAAAAAGTGTAACTTGACATCTACACTTTACACTGGAGATTTTTGTTTTGTATAGATTAATAGCGTTTAGCAAATGGTTCCTGGGAAAAAGCCGGAATTGCAACCAAGATGATGATGGGAGCTGAAAGAAATCCAAATGTGTGAATGATTAAAAGATACTGAAAACCGAGCATGTTAGTTTGTTTTCCTTATTTACAAAAGATGTGAGGGTTGGCGCATGAAGGAGGATTAGTCAGTTTTCTTACTTATCTCTTTTAACTTTTTATGGTGTGATTTATCAAGATTTATTGTCTTAGTATAGTTTCAAAAATCTTTGGACTGTTGACATTAATTAGAAAATATTACATTGCCATTATTTATTGACTATGCATTATGATTATCAATATTATTAATAAATGTCATTTTTTTTGTATAGGTTATTATCTTTAATCTTTTCATTATTATTATTATCACATAGTATCTTATAAGAAATGAGAAATAAGACAGTATTTTTCATTCTTGCTTTATATACTTCTTGTTGGAAGAATATCCATTTATATAAGCTCTCAAAACCTTGTAATTTATTATTGAACTAGGAGTCCTTGCACAGGAATTATTAACTATAAGAATAAGATCACATTTTCGATTTTCTGTTGCAATTCTTCATTTTTCCCCCATTTTATGAACATTTAAGAAGGTATGAAAGGACCATTAATTCATTCATACAATTCACCACCACTGTTCTTTTCAAATCATAAAAATAGTTGTCATCATCTTCATGTGATACAAAATTGTCATGGATAAGAGTACCAATATTATACATGATTCCCTTTATAATGTGAATTTAATGTACCTTTTACAAAGGCTTAAATATATTTCAAATGGCATTCCAAAGTTTTCATTGTACACTAGTAATCTAGTCTATATTCCATATATAGGAAATTAATACTTTTTAGTTAATATTAATGCATCATTTGTATAAAATAGAGAATAATGCTGGTAATAACACTAATAATGATGATAATGATAATGATAGTGATTAATGATGATAATAACAATAATAATAATAATAATAATAATAATAATAATAATAATTAAAAACAAAGTTAAGAATCATGATGCAAAACTGTCAATGATACTGCTACAATAATGCTGACAGTAAAAACAATATCTAAAGCCATCTGTACCAAACTAGATGGTTTTGTAAAAATTTGTATTTTTGTGAAACCTGTGTTGAAATACAGCTCTCATATCCTTGTCTGTATTATGATTGTGTTCCTGTTACAAGGTGTTTTAGGTCGTTTTAAAGTGGACCAAAAGAAATTAATAACAGTGTCTGGTTAATGAAAGGCCAATAGAAATATGGGTATTCTTACTTTGTGGGGGAAAAAGAAGACAAATATGAACTAATTAATGCATTGTAGGTCCTATACTTGATTTGTAATTTTTATATTGGAAGTTTCAAATGTAAAGTGTTATTGATAATATATCATTCCCAATATTATTTATAAATTAATGAGGTGCATAGACAAAGGTTTCAGTATACATTTCTGAATGTATATGCAATTGAATTGATTTTTTTTTTTTTTTTTTTAATCATAAATTAATCTCATAACTTATTTGTAGTTTTCAAAATTACTATTATTATTGACATTATCCATTTATATACACAACAAAGAGTGAAACATAAAAGGTATATATGTGTTTGTGTGTGCATGTGTGTGTGTATATATATATATATATATTTCTTTTTTCTTTTTTTTCTTTTTCTTTTTTATAAGGGTACAACAAAATCTGATTTATAATCTTAAATGTGAGTATTCACAACCCGTTTTATTAAAGCCAAACTGCAGCTTCATACAGCAAACGTAAAGACAAATCTGGAGAATGACAGTACAAACATTCGTACATACTGGCAAAAAAAAGAATAAACACTCCAGTGGTATGTGGGATGACAGAAATTTCTAAGAATAACAGAACAAACACACTTTTTACTCTCTTCATTTCTTACTGAGATGCACTTTTGAGAGGTTGGCGAGGATAGGATGAATAACCTCATAATTATTGCCACCAAACTGTCAACCTGTCATCATTCATCATGTATGGTACACCTTCACTTTAATAGTATATCAAGGATACGATAATGGGAATAATAAATAAAAGTACAGAAGAATAGGGAGAATAATAAGGCCATTATTTCCTATAGCATTCTTTTTTTTTCTTTTTTTTTTACCCGAATTTTGTTCCATTATCTTCTGGCCGTTTAATAAGTGGATGAAAATGGATTGCCAAGTCAAGATGTAAGAAAATTCTACAGTGACTGAAGTAATTTTTTTTACATTTAAACTTCTAAAATCTGGGTGGCTCATTGTTCAACAAACATTAAGTAACATTACCATAAATAAAGATCTGCATTAAAAAACTATTAATGTTTCACGCACACATGATACTCTTTGTTCATACAACCAACTATCTACTTGCTGCTCAAACTGCTCAAACAAAGATATATATATAAGGACTGTCCACACAAACGGATATGACCGGCGGGCATGGGCAGAGATGGTGTCAAAGGCAGTCAATGGTTCAAACAAAGAAATGAGCTAGACATAAAAGCACAACAAGAAGGTATAGTAGTGAAATGGATAAAGAGGGCAATCAAATGGGATAAGGTGGGATTAGTAAAAGGAAAAGCGGTTAAAGGAGATTAGATAAACTGGAGGAGCCAAGGAGGGGATGAATGGTCAGGAAGAGGAAGGGTCAGAGATGAGGAAAGGGTGAATGGGAAAGGAGAGCAACCATGTGAACTGAGAGAGGTGTAGGCAAAGGTAGGAAGAAGGGATTATGGGGCAGTTTGGAGAGAAAATTGGCGGAATAAGCTTGGCATCAGAGAAAGCAAAGAGCATGGCATTGAAGAGAGGGATAACAGGCTTTACTCATCATACAGGCTCTCAACTGGGGAAGAGCAGAAGAGGCCTAGAGATAAGCATGACCACATTGGTAGACTGTATCAAGATGAGCAAGAAGTGAAACGGAGGCAGAAGAATAGATATGGTAGTCATAGTCAAGAGTGGAGAGGATCAGGGTAACATAAAAATGGAGGAAAAATTTGCAGTCTGAACCCCAAAATATATGGAGAGTCTGCAAGAGTCTAAGGTGATGATGGGTTTTTTCTTTAGTGGAAAGGATATGATTCCCCCCAGGACAGATTGGAGTCAAAAATGACACCAAGAAACTTTCCAGGGGGACAGGACTGGAAGAAAACATCAAATAAAGAGAGTGGAGGTTGGGCACTTAAGCGAGAAAAAAAGAATGGAGAAGGATTTGGAGGTAGAAAAGTGAAAGCCATGGTCAGTGGCCTGAGTAGATAGCAGACCTTTGAACTGAGGTAATGAGGTAGAAAATATGATCAGAAAGGAAAAACACACTCAATGTTCACAGGTGGTCAAACTACGAGCCATTGTTTTCTCACATTTGCAGTTACTTGCCCCTGTGCCCCCCTATCATGCCCACTGATGCTGTAGACTGACCTTTAGATAAATGTGTAAATGTGAAGGTGAAAAATGAATAGCCATGATTATGTTTATGTTTATGAAGAATAATAGTGATGAATTGCATAAGTGATCAAATATACTGATGACTCTTTATATGTGAGATTAATAACAATAATAATTATTTGTGTAATATATCAGTATCAAAAATCATGGAATGCATGAGAATATATGTGCAAGATGAGAGGAATGGCACTGCTCTGTGTATGGATGAAAGCACTGGCAATCAGTTACCAGTGTATGTGTGAATCACTCATTAAAAAAATATAGAGAGAAATATGTGTACAGATGACCATATAATTCTTCAGACCATTAAAAAAAAAAAAAGAGAGAAAGAGAGAAAATAAACACTTTCACACTGAGCTTAGACTGTCGTCATGGGTGTGATCATTTCGTGAGTCCAAAATGTGACATCTGGATAGCTCCTGAGGCTACTCTCAAGAGTGAGAGCCTGAACCAGGTCCTCACTAGACACTGCTTCCTCTGCATGGTGCCTCATGATGGTCTGTGGCTCAGGGAACCATACAGGTGAAGCGCTGCTCCAAATCTGCTCAGTGTGTATTTCATGGCGATGGACACTCACCCTCGTCTCAATGATGCATGATCTTACATGGCCAATGGAGGAGAATTTTGTGCTAGGCTCTGGGACGTCTAAGGGGGGGACTGTTATAGGGATTTCAGAGGTGCTGTTTCCCCCCAAAGAGCTGGTAGTGTTGGGAGTATTGCTATCCTCAGTGGGGAAATCTGCAAAGTGGATGGTGCTTCTGGTTTGGGGTTCTGGGAATGCAAGGTGAGACGAGGTGAGGACTATGGTAATGGGGTTTGTTGTCGCGTCATCTGCTCTGAGTCCCGGGGTGGCACAGCCTCGACAAGGGACCTCTTGTCCTCCATCAAAAAGTTCACTTGTGCCTGTACTGATTTCACGAGTTCTAAATGCAGCAACATCTTCAAAGGAACTATAGGGACTCGAGACATCATGAAGTTCAAGACCCAGACTGCTGTCTCTCTCTGCCAACTTCACATAATGTTCTCTGCCCTTATCCAGCCTCTCCTTGTGGTAAGGGAACCACCTGGATTTTGGATAATCTTCTGTACCCTTTACTTGAGGCACTTGAGGGGAAGAACCTTCAAGTGCCCCATGAATTATACTATGGGTTTGAGTGACTGAGCCAAAGGAATATTCTCTGTGGATGGGGGTTGAGGGGGCGATGAGCGAGACTGCATTATGTGCCCGAGCCCTGCTTGCACTGGTCCGACCTGGAAGGGAAAAGCGGATGAAACCACTTGGGATTGTAGGTCAGGGTAAAATAACACCAGTTGAAAAGCAAATGAAAAAATAGCAATGTCAAATAATTCCCAGAAAACAGGTACTTTTACATTTTAAAAATAAATTTAAATATAAATGTGACATATATACCATATATAAAACATTACATAAAGTGTACTTACATCAAGCTAGTAATTTACTTACAGGCCACACACATAAAATGCAAACAAAAACAAATGCTGTAAATCAAAACAAAAGCACATGGGATAAAAAAAATCAAGTCAGTGTTAACCAAACAAAAGTGCAAAACGAAAAAAAAAGAAAACTAATATAAAACTATCCATTTGGAACATTTCACTTTTGGGCAAAAAGGACTCAAAATATGAATGATTGGTCCAGTATGTGAAATATTTGTTAATGTGCTGCAAAATGCAATGGAACATTCAACCTAAGAACAATGAAAAACGAACGAAAATATGGTAAATAATCCTCTAAAACATGCAACATCACAAATAATAAAATCGAAACAATAAAAACGTAAAGGATACTCACAATCACATTAATCAGCGAAGGTAAATACTCATAACACACAAGCTGACACAATGCTAGTCATTCCAAAACTGCGGCAACGCGATCATGCACATCTACTCAAGGCCTTCCTCTTACCTTTCGTCTTCTGCGGCAAATCGACAGCTCGAGAAACCATGTGGGAAGGAACAACAACAGTCTTTGGAACAAAAACACTTGAGGGAAAGAGGTGGGAGGAAGAGGAAGAGGACAGATTTTGGAAGGCTAATCCTGGAAAGGTGGTGAGCGATGCGTGGGATGAAGGTGTCCCGTGGAGGGCGTTAGAGGACCTCTTTCGCGGGCTAGGTTGTTGGTGCTGCACTCCGCTCAGCGACGGCACGCTCGACCGCGTCTTGGGATAAAGGATGCTGGTGTCTGGAGATGAGTGCGATGCCCTTCCCCTTCCTTCGTCGAGGACTCGCTTAGAGGACGTGAGAACCACAGGCCCATTGGCCCCAGCGTTGTCGAGTCGCCCTTCGTTGTGGCTTACGAGTCCTGCCGAGGAGGGCGGATGCGTCATGTAAAAGAAGTGCTCGGGTTCCAGCGTCCGGAATATGGGCGCGGACGGGGCCTCTCCCTCAGGAGTCGTCGGCGACCAAGGGCGTCCCTCCGACAATACACGAGCTCGAGGACGAAAGAGAACGAGGAGAGATGACTGGGCTCCTCTGGCAAAGGGGCGGAGTCGCAGACACGATGCCCGAGGCCCTCCAAGTGAGAGGAAAAGATGTCTGCTCAACCTCTACCAGAAGTCCCCAACTTCTGGGCGTGGAGGCGAGACCCCCTGTCGCAGAGGACGGCGACGACGAAGACAACGACGGCGGGGACAGGGGCGACGTCGAAGAATGGTGGCGCTGAAGGGAGGAGAACGAGGAGAGGAGAAGGACGTTTGCTAGCAATGGTGGCGGAGTGAAGTCCTGGCGGCGCTGAGGGCGCGTCGCGGAGCCGCTCCTGTAGGGCTCGCTGGTGTCGGAAAGGTTCCTCGGCCCCGCCCCCTGGGCCTTCCACCTGAGGAAAAAGAAGAGATGACTAATGGGAGGGAGGGAAGGGGAGAGGGGGAGAGGGGGAGAGGGGGAGAGAGGGAGAGGGAGGGAAGGGGAGAGGGGGAGATGGGAAGAGGGAGGGACGGGGAGAGAGGGAGAGAGAGGGAAGGGGAGAGGGGGAGAGAGAGGGAAGGGGAGAGGGGGAGAGGGGGAGAAAGAGGGAAGGGGAGAGAGGGAGAGGGAGGGAAGGGGAGAGGGGAAGAGGAAGGGAGGGGGAGAGAGGGAGAAGGAGGGAAGGGGAGAGGGGGAGAGAGAGAGGGAAGGGGAGAGGGGGAGAGAGAGGGAAGGGGAGAGGGGGAGAGAGAGAGGGAAGGGGAGAGGGGGAGAGAGAGGGAAGGGGAGAGGGATAGAGAGAGGGAAGGGGAATGGGGGAGAGGAAGGGAAGGGGAGAGGGAGAGGGAGAGAGGGAGGGAGAGAGAGTGAGTCATACAGACACCCAAAACAGACAGAAACAGAGAGAGCCAGACATGAAACAGAACGAACCTACACAAAACAAACACTCACAATACATAAACAAACACAGAATGAACAGAATCAATCCACCAGCTGCGAATCTCAAGTCCGCATTTTATCACACGGACCACGTACACGCTGAACTCCCGTCTCGCATTAACACAGGCGCAAAACGAAACCTCAAGACTGTTCGGCATTTCTAAGGCGCGCGTCCTCGTGGCCTCAAAATCACTGAGAAATAAATTGCACAAACTCATTCATTCTTATGGAGGGGAATTGGGGGGTGGGTTTAGGAGGGGGGGGTAATCTGGGGTTGGGGGGTGAGGGTGCTGCTTCCAGGAAATATATACTCTTTCCGTTGATAAATTGCAGGTCATTAAATAGTTTAGGTTCTCATCCGCCAATCAGAGATAAGGCCTACATGCCCTATATTTTTTTCTTCATTTCTACTTTAATCATTTAGTTTTACTCTAATTTATTTATTTACTTATCTATTCATTCCTTATAACCACACCCTAAAATATAAATAGGAAAAGAAAGCACGAACTCTCTCTAATCTTCGTACACAAATCCAAATTAGTATATTCTATCGACAGCGGCATCGCAATCACAGCATATAAAAAACAGTCAAACTCCATTCAAGCATACACTCATACACTTCCTCACCAATGCAGACACGCAGGAATGCAGGCACGCAGGCACGCAGGCACACACACACACACACACACACACACACACACACACACACACACACACACACACACACACACACATACACACATACACACATACACACACACACACATACACATACAATCATGGTGGACAATCGCAGAATTCCTACTTACAATTCGCACGTATAATCATGCACCCCTCCCTCCCTCCCTCCCCTCCCTCAGCCCCTTTCTAACCCCAACCACTAGCCCTCCCCTTCCCCACTCTCCCCCCCTACCTTTCCACCCTCAACCTATTACCCCCCCCCCCCCATCTTTTCCTCCCTCACCTCCCCTCATTTTCCCTTCGCCTCTTTCCCTCATCTACTCCTTCCCCTTCTCTCTCTCTCCTCTTCCCATCTTCACTCCCCCTTCCTCTCTCCCCTGCCCCCCCCCCTATCCCCTTTCCCTTCCCCCCTGCTCTCCCCACTGCTACCCCGCACCCCTCCCCTCTCCCCCTCCTCCTACCCCTTACCCTCTACCCTCTTGCTATCCCCCTCCTCATTTTCCTTCCTACCCCCCCCCCCTCTTCCTTTTGTAGCCAAGATCAGTCATTAGAGAAAATTATGACTAAGAAAGTGTCATAATGGGGGGGGGGGGGGATCGTCACTAGGTTCGGCCAGTGTTGCACAGTCCAAACTCATGCACTATGCAGGATGATATTTGGCTAAATAAGGAATTCAGTACCAGTGTCAGTACCTTCTTCCAATCCCACTCCCCTCCCCTCTTCCTACCCTCCCTCTCCTTCCCCCCTCTTCCAACCCCCTCCCTCCCCTTCCCCAATCTTCCAATCCCTTCTCCTCGACCCCCTCTTCCTTCCTTCCTTCCCTCCCCTTCCCACACCCCCTTTCCCACTCACCTTTCCTCGGTCAGTGGGTCGTCTTCGCCGCCGCCGCCGCCGCCGCCTCCTCCTCCTCCTCCTCCTCCTCCTGCTCCCCTCCGCCTCCCCCTCCCTCCAGGCGAGTCGTTTTCGTCGTCGTCGTCGTCATCGTCGTCGTAGCCGTCGTCGTCGCCGCCGTCCGAACACCGCCTCCTCCACCACGTGCCTGCAAAACGACGGGCTGATCAAGGGGGTGAATATTGCCTGCTTTCCTGCTGGATTAGTTGCTTGCCTGAGGGGGAGAGGGGTGGAAGGGGCGGGGGAGGGGGAGGGTACGTGTGTGTTGTGGGAGGGGAAGAGAGGGGAGGGGAGGGGAGGGGAGGGGAAGGGAGGGGAGGGAAGAAGGGAGAAGAGGGAAGGGAAGGGAGGGGAGGGAAGAAGGGAGAAGAGGGGAGAATAAGAATAAGAGCGAAGAGGGAAGGAGAGGAGAGGAGTGGAGAGGAGACAAGAGGGGAGGGGAAAAGAGGGTTGTTTGTGTGAATGGGGTAAGGAAAGGAAGGAGGGTAGGGGGGGAGGCGGAGAGAGAAAGACAGAAAGACGGAAAGAGAAAGAGAAAGAGAAAGAGAGAGAGAGAGAGGGGGGGGAGAAAGAGAAAGAGAAAGAGAGAGAGAGAGAGAGAGAGAGAGAGAGAGAGAGATAGAGATAGAGCGAGAGAGAGAGAGAGAGAGAGAGAGAGAGAGAGAGAGAGAGAGAGAGAGAGAGAGAGAGAGAGAGAGAGAGAGAGAGAGAGAGAGAGAGAGAGAGAGAGAGAGAGAGAGAGAGAGAGAGAGAGAGAGAGAGAGAGAGAGAGAGAGAGAGAGCGAGCGAGATAAAGAGATAACCAGACAGAA